TGGCTACAACTGTAGCTTGCCTCCACCAGTGTGTGAAAGTGAGAGTGAAAGAATAGTGGCATTGTAAAGCGCTTTGGGTGCCTTGAAAAGTGCTATATAAATCCAATCCATTATTATTATTCAAATTTTGATTTAGTATTCAGGTCAAATATTTGTTTTACTGTACATTGCATGTACATTTACATTACTTTTTAAATTTGCACAGTAAAGTATAAAGGAGTAAAATATTTTTGCTTTTGCAGATTTGAAGATTAAAGCAATGAGGTTTTTTTTATTGAATTAACATTTAATTTAGTCTCATTTATATGTATATATGTAATATCCAATAAAAAACAACTATACAATTAATGTACTTGGTTTACAACATCTGGTTTTTTAAAACTCATTTTAATAAAACATATCCATTCTATAAATCAATAATAATGATTAGCTTGAGTTTGAAGCAAACAACCGAATAAAATAAAAACTTACCATATATTTTTAGAGATACATTCGCTTTTTTCAGTAACTTTCCTCTAGAGTCATGTTCTTCCAACTGGTAATATCCAGAGTGTTTCTTCATGGCTTTACCCAGTTTCAGTGTTCCATTATTTACGCCACTTGGTTGATTTACATATTCATGATTTAAAATCATAGTCCTATTATTGTGAGTTTTTACAACCCAGTTTTTGTTATCCTTCATAACTCTCATTAAAGTATCAATTTTATGTGACAGATGAAAAATTAGCGACTGACCTACGGCTCCAAAACAATAATGGGTTCCAGGAGATTCTGAGAAAATGCATTCAACTGACCCTAAAAGAAACAAGAAATAAACACAAATTTTTTTATGTAAAATATGGAATGAAATGAAACTATATTCTATAAACAAAACTGAAATTTACAAATTCAATCAACATTTTCTGTATTGAAAACAGTACAATATACTATAAAATTAAATACCTTTTGCCAGGGCTGTTGTTGCCAGAATTGTGATGCTGATGTAGATGAAAATCATTGTTTCTGTAACACAGAGGTCAACATTTGGAATCATGTCACACTTTTTGGAAGGTATGCCTGCCCTAGTTTATTCTACGGATTCTACTTCTACTTTTTCTATTGATCACTTTGAGAATAAAGTCAAAATTTCTAGATAAAAGTCGAAATACTATTTTGAGAAAAAAAAAAAATTAATGTGGAGATTAAGACAAACCTATACCCCCTATACACTCTATAAAATGCCTTGTGTAGATGAGTGAGTAAAATCATACTTCATAATCTGTTTTCTGCACACTAAGAATTTATCACATAAACACAGTGTGGTGATAAGTATAAAGGATGTAAAAAGATGACAGAAAAAGGAAAAAACACATAAACGTTGAAGAGTTGAACGAATGTATACAAAATGAAATGCCTCCCAATGGACAGATGCAGGAATATCGATGACTGCAACCTCGTGCAATGAAGAGGATGTACATTGTATCACAATACACTATAAGACGGCTGATCAATTTGTTTCACTAATTCATCTGCACAAGGCATTTTGTAGAATGTATATAGCAGTCATGGCATTTTGTCCTGAAACACCTGTAATCACCAAATTTGACTTTTTTTCTCAAAATAGGATTTCAACTTTGATCTTGAAATTCAACTTTATTCTCAAAATGATCAATAATATTAGTTTATTCTTAACATGGCCCTAATTGTTCTTTGTATTATTTAAACATTTGCCACACTGCATAAAAGGTTGATTTCACAAATTAAAAGTTATACAGTATCTATGAAATAGTATACATGGATTATTATTTATAATTTAATTAAATACATTTTTACAGATTTTTAGTTAGTTTTAATCAATATCAGCCTGCATGGATTAAAATTATAAGCTTTCACTCACCACATTCAAAAGGGGATGTTTTCTATATGGAAGTGTAAGACTGCACTGTGAATGTTTTACAAGCAGAAGGCTGGTTTATGGTCATTACAGATGGGCGGATCAATCTAAATATCAATAGTATTGATACCAATGCTGGTATTGGATTGATAGTAGCATGATAGAATCAATACTTTGTTTCTATCCTCTAAGTTCAGTATATTGCCCACCTAACTGCGTAAATTATTTATGGGGAAATACAAAGAAATATACCTAAAAGATCCACGATGAAAAATGTGTAAACCTCGTTGTACTGAATATGACCTCAATTTGATTTATAGCCTACAGCACATTTAAACAACAGAAGAGTTGTTTAGAAATAGGCACATTTATATTTTAGGTTTCCACAAAACCCAGTTTCAAAAGTATAACCAATTATTGTGAATAGTAAAAGTCACTGTGATTTAGTGATCATTAAAATGTGTTCAGAATTTGCTAATCGATCATGAATCAACTCATAGGTCATAACACACATGCTCTCCTCTACATTAACTTTCTTTATAAGTTAAAAGTGTTGTTTTTTGCATTGTGTGGGGAATACTGGCCCCACATTTAGTTGGTATCTGATCGATACCAAAATTTAAAGTATTGCACAGCACTGATGGTTATCTTCCTTTCTTCTTCTCTGATAAGAATTATGGAAGGAGCTTTTGCACTGGTTCCCACAACCAGTACAAATTGGTCATACATGCTTTCGTTTTTAGCCCCTTTTGTCAGACTGGTTCTGGCAAAAGGTGGCTATATTTGCTATGTGTCTATTTAGGAAAGCTGCAAAACCGAACCTCACTCAATCATGTTTGTGGTGCTGGTGTTTTCTGCCGTTATCAGACCAAAAATATGGCTTCACATTTGGTTAATTATACTAACAGGGTTTTCAAAAGTTTTATGCTCCTTTTGTTTTGTTTATTTGTTCTGTTTTTGTTGAAGGAGTTTTTTTGTCTGCGGTCAGGGGGCCCGATATTGTTCCAAGCCAGCAAGCCATTCAGGTCCTTAAGAGAAACAAGATATAGACAGTTATTGTGACAATCTTGATCTAAGAACAACACAAACATATATATTATTTGACTTTTTCTGAATGCTGTATTTTTATGCGTGAAATTATTTTTAGCTTTCACACAATATAAAAGGATCCAGAAAGCTACAGTTTTATTTTATTT